CCTTAAAAATTCAACCCTTGTGGGACCAGCAAATGGCATAATGGTTATGTCGCTGGACTCCCACATAGTGAACTATGGTTTGAGTCTCAAATCTGGCAGCTTAATACTCACGCCCGGCACATGTGCCTGAAGTCCTGAGAGAGAACAGAGGAGAAGGGACTATGGCATGGCCATCCCCTTGGGGTGATTTTTCATTTTCTATCTCTCTGTCTCTCTCACTCTGGTGAGCACACACACCCTACAATAAAAATGATCTTTGAAAAAAGCCCACCCTTGGGACTAGCAGCTAGCGTAATGGCTATGTCACTGAACTCCCATGTAGCTGACCGTAGTTCAAGTTCCAGACCTGGTGGCTTAAACTCATGCAGGGCATGTGTGCATGCGTGCCCAAGATCCCAAGAGGAGAATGGAGAAGGGACTGCAGCATGGCTATCCCCCCTGGGGGGTGATTTCTCGCTTTCTGTCTCTCTGTCTTTCTGGCAAGTGCATGTGCTCTATAGCAAAAACCTCTCCAAAAAAAAAAAAAACTTACCCTTGTGTTGAATTGCTAAGTCTGTTTCTTTCTTTTTTTTTTTTTTTTCTTGGTCAGAGAGTGTTATGTTCTCCAGAAAGATCAGGAAACAGAGGAGAAAATGTCACATGAACCCTCTTCACACTCCACCCCATCAGGATTTGGGGCACATGCACACAGGCACCCTGTGCATTTTTCAAGCTACCAAGCCCAGGCCTCAAACAGCAGAGTGGGAGTGTGGGATCCAGGCCCGTGCCATGGTGCCAGCTGGCTGAGAAGCCTGTCACAGGGAGCCCTGAAATTCACGGCACAGAGAGGCACTCACAGGTGGGAGCAGCCCCTGGCGGCCACCACGTTCAGGGCCGGGAAGGCGTAGATGACGAAGCGCAGTTCCTTGTGTGGGAGCAGAGAGTACAGTGCCACGAAGCCCAGGGACGGCAGAGTCAGTGCACGGCACCGCCTGTCCACGGCACCCAGGGGCACGAATAGCAGGCTGCACCCTAGGCCACGGGGCAGGGCCGAGTAGAAGTACCACAGCAGCGGGGAGGTCTTCAGGCTGAGGTTAAGGAGGCCGTGTGCCACACCATGGGTCACCATGTGCATAAGCACAGCACAGGAGTGACAGGTGAACCATAGGAGTTAACAGGTAAGCCACAGTGACAGGTAAACCACAGGAGTGACTGACAGGTGAACCACAGGAGTGACTGACAGGTGAACCACAGGAGTGACTGACAGGTGAACCACAGGAGTGACAGGTGAACTACAGGAGTGACAGGTGAACCACAGTAACAGGTGAACCACCTCGTGGGTGTGTGAGGGCACCAAGCTCAGGTGGCCTGAGGCTGTCCCCTCCAGGCCCAGACAAGGAGGGCCCGAGGGTGGGCTATGGGAGGTCACTCGCCTCTCCCCGTTCACCGTGATCAGATTAGAGGTGCGCACGGGTGCTCTGCTGCTCCTCTGCCGTGTGAGACATCCCAGGGAAGGGGCATCGAGCGACCATCGCAAGGATGGGGGGGCTCCCCCCCACAGCCCATGGCGCCCCAGCATGAGAGGGAACAAGAAGTGCCGGCCTTGAGGCCACAGCAGCGCCAGGCCAGGGCACACACAGAGGAAGCCCTCATGCTGCGCCACACCACCCCTGCCCCAGGGAGGGCCCATCCACAGCCCCCCGCACAGAGGCTCAAGGATACACCCCAGTTGGAGCTCTTGTTCAGAACTGTGTTGTACCAAAGCACCTCTCCTTCCGGCCACACAGGGTACTGCCAGAAGTAGGAGTCCACAGCGACCGTCAGTCCTGACAGAGAAGAAGCGTCTGGGTAACAAGGATGGCAGCCTGAAGGCTCGGACAGGCACCCCAAGTGAGGGCTGCCACGAGGGCGGCAGGTGGCCCCCAGGGGGTGGTCTCCTGCGAAAGGAACTGGCTGCAAGAGGCCCCCTCCCAGGAAGCACCACCTGGGACATGGACGCATAAGGACGATGGGTGGACGGCAGCCCAGGGACACCCCTCAGGACAGCGACGCCTGGACCTAGCTGTTTTTACGCTGCTAAAAATTAAGGTAATTACTTAATGATGATTAAAAAAAGAAAGAAAGAACATGTCCCACACTTTCCTCGCCTTTCTAAGACAAAGCCGAACAAGATGCAGTTAAGGACGCCAACTCACCCAGGCAGAGCACACCGGCAGGGATGGCGTGAGCGAGTACCCCGCGCACAGTCACCTTCCCGGCGAGCCACGCGTGCAGCAGCAGGAGCCCCAGGAACAGGCCCAGCTCGGCCCTGAAGACGACAGTCACGAAGGCCGAGAGCCAGACGAAGCGCACCCACCTGCACTGCAGCCAGGCAGCGAGCGCCGGGAGGACTGCGGGGAGGAGCAGTCAGGCTGGGCGTGGCCACCGGGCGTCCACCGCGCTCCGGATGCAGAGCCAAGGCCGCTGCTGTGCACGGGCCCTCTCCACCAGCCCCATGGCAAGGTCGACAGGGTGCCCGTGTCTCCCAGGAGAGGAAGGAGGGAAGTGTGCCCAGGTCCCGCCACAGGCCGTCCCCAGCCGCCAGTGGGGAGCAGCGGTCCCCGGGGAGACGCACCGGGACAGGGTCAGGGAGCGGCAGCAGCACAGTGACCACTACGTACACTACAGTACACTACGTACCCACGGCGAGGGCCAGCACGTTGGGGAGTGTGCGTGAGCAGTAGAACAGCAGGTGGAACTGCGTGGCAGTCACCCAGCAGAACAGGGAGGCTACCGTGGCCCCAAATTGCCGCCGCACTTCTTTCTGTAGTGTCCACAGCCCACAGATCACGCTGAGTCCGAGGATCCCTCTGACTACAAACAGACAGCAGCGTGAGCGTGAGGGCGCTGAGGCCAGCTCCGCCTGCAGCGGCCACCGGTGCGCACAGCAGCCAGAGGGGTCGTCTGGTATCTGAGCACATGGCCTGGGCCAGCCTGTGGCCTGGTGGTTAAGGGAGCCGGATCCTTCAGCCATGTGGCTTGAATCCTGGACCCTGCAGCCTGAAGAACATGCCAGATGCATGTGTGTGTGCCCAAAGTCCCAAGAAGAGAATGGAGAAGGGATTGTGGCACCGCGGCCCTGGGCAGGAGCACAGAGCGCCACCTCCCGAGGACAAGGATGCTGCTGCTTCTGGGTGCAAATGTCTGATCAGAACCTGTCTAACCACTGTCCCCAGTAGGCCCGATCCCAGCTGCCTTCCCTCACCTCTGGATCCCTGCCCACCCCTCCCACAGCTAATAGGCCCTGACAGAGCTCTCTGCCCTCCTGTGACCCCCTTCAAGTCTGTATCTGAGGAGTCCTTCACAGGTGCCCTGCGGTCTGCCTGGGTCCCCACCCTCCCAGACGTCCGCTCATCTCTGATCAGGTGCTGGTCAATGACTCTTAAGTCAAGACCAGCCCAGGGGTCAGCAGATGGTGTGGAGGTTAGGGTGGCCGGAGCCCACGTGGCCAATGGTGCCATTCAGAATAGTCCCAGACCTGGTGACTTAAAAACACCAGGCTGTGTGCGTGCATGCACAAAATCCCAACAGGAGAGTAGAGGAGAAGGACTGCAGTGCGGCCATATCTCCAGGGGGCGGGGTTTCTCTCTCTCTGTGGCTGGGGAGCATAAGCGCCCGATGGCAAAACAAGTAAGAAAAGGAAAACAGCCCAAGGGCTGCTTCGTTTAGGGGCTCTCAGGTGAGGCTGGGGAGTGACAGGCCTGGTGCTCCTCTGGGGCCTGTGAGGTGCCTCACAGACATGTCCCCTCTCTGCCTACTGGCCCCGAGGGGAAGGTGCCAACCCAGCTTCACAGCAGCGAGACAGCAGGGTGGACAGGCTCCCTCACGCTCCCAAGGCCAACCGTGAGCCCTGTCTGTACCACCATGCTAAAGAGACCCCAGGCAGCAAGACTGGCAGGCAGGCGCCCTAGAGGGCAGAACCCACTTCGCTCTGACCCAGGTCACCTCCTGCCATGGTTCCTTCTGGGTACCCTCACCTGTCAGCTGAGAATAAAACTTGGACACCTCCAGCAGCGACAGCGCAGACACCACAGGGCTGGAGAGCGCTGCAAGCAGCAGCGGCCCGAGGAACGTCCTGGGCACGACGCCGGGGAACTCATGGTGGTCGTACTGCGGAGACAGGGCGGTCAGCAGGCAGCCCCAGGGCTGGGGCAGCATGGCGGCGAGGGTGTGTAGGCCTTGCCTGCCCCAGGCAAGGTGGCGGCGACGGTGTGCAGGCCTCACCTGCCCCAGGTCCAGCCGGTGATAGAGCAGGTCGTGCACTGCCTGCAGGTTGAAGCTCTCCTCTACCTTGGTGTAGGGACAGGCGATGAGGTGGACAGTGCCCACAGCAATGAGCAGCCCCAGCAGCAGGGACTGCCTGCCCGAGAACCTCTTCCCAGCCATGGGGGACTCGATCGTCCTGCCCCTTCACGGGACCACAGGTGAGAGATGCCCACTAGCCTGCCACTTCGGGCATTTGAAAAAAACGCGATGTGTAAGTTCCAAAACCACGCTGGAGTTCGCCACCGGGAGATCTGGCAACGGGCCAGCAGGAGCTCCGTGAACGACTGTCTTAACTCCTGCAAACTTCGAAAAACAGCGAGATAAAAAGCTGGAAGTAAAACCACTCAGAGACGCTGTCCTATTTTAACCAGCTGCCTTAGGACATTCTGGGAGGGCCCTGAGCCTAGTCCTTCATGGTGCCAGGCCTGGGTCATGGGCTGTGAACAGCAGCAAGGTGGCCCCGGCCCTCAAGAAGCCAAATCTGGCAGGAACCAGCAGTTAGCGTAATGGCTATGTCACTGGACTCCCACGTAGTCGACCACGGTTCACGTCCTGGACCCGGTGGCTTAGAACTCATGCCGGGCGCGTGTGCGTGCGTGCCCAAGATCCCGAGAGGAGAATGGAGGAGATGGGATTGCGGCGTGACCACCCCCCCTGGGGGGTGATTTCTTGCTTTCTGTCTCTCTGTCTCTCTCTGTCTGTCTGTCGAGCGCACGCGCCCTATAGCGAAAACCTCTCAAAAAAAAAAAAAAAAAAAAAGAAAAGAAGCCAAATCTGGCAGAGATGGACAAAGCTCAGGCTCCGCCTTTCAGGACTGGCCGAGAGACAGGATAACAGGCTGGGAAGTGGGTCCTGGGGGTTGGAGGGACACACCTGGAAGGTGACAGGGGGCATCCATGGAAGGGCCGGGGGTCAGATGTAATATGGCTACCAGGAACACAGGGCTCAGGGCGGCCAGCGCATCCCCCACCTCACCGTGCCCTGCAGGGCACCTGCCGCTAGTCACTCAAACACAAACAGGACATTCTGGGCCTCAGGGTCCCTGAGGAACCAAGACATGTGTGGGTACTACCGTGGCAGACACAGCAGCAGGGCGGTTTTCTCTGCGGATTCTGGGACTCTAGAGACAGGTTTGACTCGAGAAAACCCAGAAATGCCAGAAGCAAAAGGAGACAGAGACATGGTGGCTCCACATGCGGGTGGGGACGCGGCGGCCTGGCGAGAGCGAAGGGTGGCCCGCGGCCGCGAAGGAGCAGGGGCCCTGCGTGGTGTGAAGGTGCTGGGTGGGGAAGGCAGGGGCAGAGTCCCCCTCACTCTGGGCTGCATTGATAGCTCTTAGAGAGACCGTACCATTGGTCCTTCTCCAAATACAAAAACTTAGTATGGAAGAAAAAGGCCTCGTAAGGGGCCGCTGGACAGAGCGGTGCTACTGGCCCCTTCCCAGTCTAAGAGTTTGCTCTGTGAGGTGGGCAAGGCGGTCTGTCTGGGTCTCTCCCCAGCGGTGTAACCGCAGACTGATAGCAGGGCCTGGCCAGCAGAGGAGCTGGCAGTGTGCCCCTGCTGGGCCTGTGGGCAGGCCGGCTGGCCGACTGTGGTGTCAGCAGGGCCTGCCGGCAGCAGGAGCTCAGGACCTAGGTGGAGGGGAGCTCCGACTCCTGCTGGAATGTGACCTGTTAGCTCCCAGGAAAGCAGAGGGGCCTTCAGACCACACCCCTGCTGCTCTGCTTGCTCTCACTGTCAGGAGAGAAAGCAGCTGCACAGGAAGGGTGCTCGCCAGGGACCCGACACGGGTGTCCCGCATCTGGCCCCAGGACCTACCCCTGCAGGAGCACGCAAACCATGGGAGGCTCCTGGTCAGGCCCCAGAGTTGAGGCAAAGGGCCAGGTGGCTTGCTTGCCTTTTTTCTTTTTTTTGCTATAGGGCACATGTGCTTGCCAGAGACAGAAAGTGAGAAATCACGCCCTGGGGGGATGGCCATGCTGCAATCCCCTCCATTCTTTCCTTGAGATTCTGCAAGAACGCACCCAAGTCCAGCATGAGTTTGAAGCTGCCCTGTCCAGGGCTTGAACTGCAGTCGACTACATGTGATGTAATCATTGCCCCATCTGCTGGTGCCAGGATAGCTTGCTTACTTTCTTTCTTTCTTTTTTTTTTTAGAGCTTTTTGCTATAGAGCGTGTGCGCTCACCAGAAGGAGAGAGACAAAAAGTGAGAAATCACCCCCCAGGGTGGATGACCACGCTGCAATCCCTTTTCCATTCTCCTCTGAGGATCTTGGGCACTCACGCACACGCACCCCGTGTGAGTTTAAGCCACCGGGTCTGGAATTCAAACCGCACTTGACTACATGGGCGTTCAGAGACACGGCCATTCCGCCAACTGCTGGTCCAAAGGAAGGCAATCACAGGCCAGGTGAAAGTCAGTGCTCACCTGGACAGACAGGAAGAGAGCCAGCATGCGTGTCCGTGGGTGGGGGCTGAGCACTAGGTGCCCACTGGTGGAACCAGGCCCAGGCCGTGGCTTGGAAACGGCATCTCGGACTGCTACAGGACCACCGGGGCCCCTTGTCCCACTCCGGAGGGTGACGCTTCTACTGGATCCGGACAAACCAGCCAGCCAGGGAGCGCTCCGAGCAGACAAGGTGCGCACCCCTTTCTGCAGGGCTTCCCGCGCCCCTCCTTCCCGCAGCTTTTCCCCTTAAACCAGGAGCTCCTGGACCTCGGGGTGCCCACTGCCAGATTCCTGAACCCCGAGGACACAGCGGGTGCCAAGTGAGGAGTCCGTGACCTAGCCGGGCACCCAGGAGAGGGGCCCTGCCCCCAAATGAGGCGTCGTGACCCCAAGTGAGGAGCCCTGCCTCCAAGCGAGAGCCCTGACCCCCAGGTGAAGAGCCCCTTCCCCACATGAGGCACTGGGACCCCCAAGTAAGGAATTGTCCAAGTGAGAGCCCGCACCCCCAGGTGAGAGCCCCGCCCCCAGGTGAGACCCCGTCCCCAGGTGAGGAGCCCCGCCCCCAAGCGAGGAGCCCCGCCCCCAAGCGAGGAGCCCCGT